CTACATGGTAAGCAACAGCAACCTTCTTGTACCGTTGCAACCTCAATTTTTAGCTACCATTCCAAACTCTCAACTAACCCTCAAACCCTAATGTCAATGCTTGGCATTTAGCCTCCATCTCAGGCAGTCATTTTCACACTGACAAATTTCTGCCATGTCACGTCCAAAACGGACGCAGAGCCAAATAGCATAATTCAATTTCATTTCAGCAAAGACACGAACAGGCATTTGGACATTGCAATTCATGTCTACATGGTAATTAACTGCTCTAGAGAACATCATTAATTAAATAACAAAACAAGGGGAACAAAATACCCCTGCACAGGGTTGGATGCATTTAGAGGACATCATTATAGCTTTAATCAAACATCCTTTGAATATTGTGTTTTGGTGATAAGAAGCAAGAGGTACTAACACTAAATTTTCCAAATACCTACTGTTATTAGGGTGAGGCAACATCAGCATACATCGAGTTCAATTAAAGAATCATATTTTGTGATTATTGTGTTATTCATATCTTATCCGAAAAGTACTAAACCCTAAACAGTACTTAATTTAGATGTTGGCAAGAAAAATACAAACTATAAACTTATATGTATTTGAATTTGTACACTTAAGTTTAGATAAAATTATATTTTCAATGGTAAAAATAAACATGAAGATCAACCAAATTCAAGGGTTTAACTGAATTAATCCATTTAAAAAAATGGTAAACCGCCTACAATAATATTAAGGTAATTTTTTACAACTAAAATGTGATCATTTTTAATCATTACTTTCAAGAAGATCTTGTCTTACTTTCTTTTGGTTAAAAATTAAAATTTTACTTACAATTTCATTTAAAATTAATTCTGGCTAGAAATTCAAATTTACATTATCCTCTAAGTTAGAGGATGATTGAATCAGTGTTCTTTAGAATATAATATGTGCGCGCGGGCACTATGGGGCCGTTCTAGCTCAGTGGTAGAGCGCGTGGCTTTTAACCACGTGGTCGTGGGTTCGATCCCCACGGATGGCGTTACTTTTTAAAATTGTTTCACCATAAGCTGCTGTGCAAATTGTTTTACCAGCATACTTGTCTGGCCGTCCTAGCTCAGTGGTAGAGCGCGTGGCTTTTAACCACGTGGTCGTGGGTTCGATCCCCACGGACGGCGAAGTTGGTTTTTTTTTTGTTTTGATCCAACACGCTTGAGAAAAGAAAATTGCTAGCGGATATATTCATTTCTTTACGGTTCTCATACCCCATTTTAGCTCGCTCATATGAAAAGGATGGCTTTATCCTGATCCCTTCATGTCATATCTTCAAATATTATAATCACCTACATTATTTTTTTTTTTGAGCAAATAATCACCTACATTATATTTAGTGCACTTCTACTATCGAAACTTGGCAAGAATAGTACGAGCGGGACGCCTGATAACATTCTCTTATTTGCTGTCTTTCATATTCTGAAGACGATGATTTTGCTTCTTCTTCCTACATGAAGGGATCACAACTCCGCAATGACATAGCGATTGAAGATGGAAGTGAGGAAGCAGAAAGAGCAGTAATTGCAAAACCTGTTGCTTCAAGGCCTACTTGCTCCACCTTTAGACCTGTCTCAAAACCGCTTGCAGGTGCCATTAATGTCTCTTTTTCCTCTGTTCACTCTTATCAAACCTCAGATTCAGCCATCAGACCCAAAACTGTGAGGTCCAGGCCATCCCCATATCACCCCCTTCCTCCTGCTGGTTTTGATTCTTCTCAGGTGAACTTCCACTTTATAATGACATGACAATCTATACTTTTAAGGGCTTCTTCACTTCCAATATCTCTCTGTTTTTTCCTCTTAATTTCAGAGTGCAAAATCTGACAAGATTTACAAGCCAATGGCAAAAGTTGCATCAAAGACCACTGCTTCTCTCTTGGCAAATATGGTCAGTACTGTAAATAATTGAATAACTCCCTTTTCCTATGTGGATATCATTTCGAAAATTGATGTTATGTCCTTGTTTCTATTGGAAAAGAGAAATTGCAGTACCGGTCATCATCAGCCTCCACTGCAAGAAAAGTTCAGAGACTATTTACACCCAAAAGTTGATACCCCCCAAGCAACTGAACCCTGTAAGGTGGAGGAAGACACAAAGGCTTTAACATTCGATAACCATGGCGGCCGACCTTCTTATGATGGATTCAAGTGGAGAAAATATGGGCAGAAGCAGGTTAAAGGAACCGAGTACCCGAGGAGTTACTACAAATGCACATATCCTAATTGTGCCGCTAAGAAGAAGGTTGAAAGATCACTTGATGGTCAGATTGCAGAAATAGTATATAATGGTTCACACAATCATTCAAAGCCTCAGCCTCCTAAGCGAAACTCGGCTTTATTATCAGGAGCGGCGGGCGACGAAATGAGTCAAGACAGTGACACAAACAACAATTTATGGAGCAGTGACAATGGAGAGAGGAAAGAAGGAAAAACTCCTCTGTTAGATGGTGGGGGAGGAGGCCTTGAGAATTCGTGCGCTCAAACTGGGTATTGCGAGGAAGGAGGAAGAAAGGAGTTTGAGGCGGAGGAAGAGCCTAGAAGCAAAAGAAGGTACCTCTCATATGTTTTTGTGTCTGATAAAAACATATCAAGCGACATGATTCATTTTCCCGTATATATGTATTTTACTGTAGTCTATATTTAATTGCTGTTGCTTCAGGAAAAACGAGAGTAGCAAATCCTATGAAATAGCAGTTTCAGAGGAAGGTGAAGGGCCTGGAGGAGTGGTGCCAAATTATGCAGATTCAGAAATAGTAGGGGATGGGTTCCGCTGGAAACAATATGGGCAGAAGGCTGTGAAGGGCAATCCATATCCCAGGTTTGATATTTGATAGAGTTTCAATCTTCTCAGCATGGCCTTTATGTGATGCGAAGTTAGCGTGCCCGAGACTTCAAGACACCCCTTGACATGTTTTCTGGCTCAGAAGATATTACAGCTCCTTTGAAAAATGGCTGAAAAATTGAAATTGTGTTGTAGAAGTTACTATAGCTGTACTAACATGAAGTGTAAGGTGCGAAAACATGATGAAAGAGCAATAGATGAGCCAGGAGCAGTTAGGACCAAGTACGAGGGAAAGCACAACCATGAGATGCCTTGACCACCAAGCATGATTCAATTCGATTCAGCGGCCCTACTTGCTGCAAACTTGTTGATATTTTTGCATCGTGGAGTCTCACTGGTACTCCTTCCCCTGCGTTTGCTTCTCCCTCGATTCCAACAAGTCCTCGTTAGTAAGAAATAATCGGTGTTGTAATCCACAAAATGGACGCTTGTTTAATCTGATGGAGTTAGATTGTGTATTTCCTTACACAGACGCATGACATGCCCTTCTTTTTATTTTTTAATCATTAATAAAGAAAATATGTGGAAGGTGAAAAATGGCGTGTATGATATACTACCTTCGGTTTTTAATATAAGACCTTATTTGACTTTTATTTTGGTTCTAAATATAAGACTCCAATCCATTTTGTCTCTTATATTTATACATTTCTTTTCAAAATAGTCATTCTAATAATAAGAGTTATAGTCAATACACTTGATTAGTAAGGATATTTTAGGAAAGACAACACCTATTTAGGATAAATAACTAACTCAACTTACTTCCTTAATCTCTTCAAATTAGTCAACTGGCTCTTATAATTAGGACCGGAGGTAGTATTAATTATTTTTTTGGTTTAATCCCAGACATGCAAGAACTCTAATCAATAACGATAAATTCCATAATTCTAGATATTACACAAACATATATGTTACCACAAACAAACTTGTGCTGCTCAATTTCTTTTCCTGCCCGTTTCATTTAAAAGTTAAAACCTTTAACATTGTAGGCCGAAAAGAGAGAGAGACACACACAGATCCGCCACAAGATTTCGATAATTGTTTATACATATCGTCTCTTGTCACGTTAATTTAGTATGAAATATACTCTTCCCCATTCTAATTTTAAGGATATATTAATAACTTCACATATATTGATAAAGAGTCTGGCTAAGATTAGTTAACATTTTAAAATAAAATTATTCTTAATGAAGTTCATCAATTGAAAGATGGCGTCTTGTTGGGTTAGGAGGGTGCTTAGTTAATTAAGAGATATCAAAATAAAATATAATTAAGAAATAGATAGATGAAATCCTAAGATAATGAAAAAGGAGCCTTATAATAACAACTGGTTGAGACAAAGTTTATTGAAAAAATGCATCATTCAAAATTCGCGTCAAAGTCTGAAAAGAAAAGATATGTAATTCTCACATATCATTCAAAGAAAATTTGAAAAAGATGAACGTCAACTAAGAAAGGAGGATTTAACTATATTCTCTTTGTCTAACACTATTTCCGGTCTTAATTATAAGAGCCGGTTGACTAATTTGAAGATATTAAAAAAGTAAATTGAGTTAGTTATTTGTTCTAAATAGGTGTTGTCTTTCCTAAAATACCCTTATTAATCAAATATATTGACTAGAACTCTTATTATTAGAAGGGCTACTTTGGAAAAAAAATATAAATATGAGAAATAGAGTGGATTAAAATCTTATATTTAAGATCAAAATAAAAATTAAACAGGATTTTATATTAAAGACTAGAGGTAGTACTCCTCCGGTCCTAATTATAAGACCCAATTGACTTATTTGAGGAGATTAAGGAAGTAAATTAAATTAATTATTTATAATAAATAAGTGTTGTCATTCCTAAAATATCCTTGCTAATTAAGTATATTGGCTAAAACTATCATTATTAGAAAGATTATCTTGGAAAAAAATGCATAAATATAAGAGACAAAATGGATTGAGTCTTATAATTAGGACCAAATAAAAAGTCAAATTAGGTCTTATAATAAGGACCGGAGGAGTATATACACCCTTTGGCGGAGTCACTGATTAATTTCTTTCAATGTTAATGAAAACAACGACTGTATCGTCATTATTCTCATGTCAAATTACATCTCAATTCGTACTAATCCTTTCTCATATGGTCCTAGCGATTCACATCAACATGATTTTAAAAAAAATTGAGTTTATCTAAATTTTGACGTCAAATTGATCTCAAAGTTTAATTTTAAACGAGACCAGGAACACACTTGTTTGATCATTGGAATAATTCTTCCACGTTATCATGATCGCTTGTTTCTTCTAAAGCCACTTTTATTGACTTAAAGGATAAAGAAACCAAAGCAGGCAAATAAAGAAGAAGGAAAAAAAAAGAAGAAGTCGGCATTGGACTAACTGTGAGACCCACCTTGTGATAATGATGGCAGTGTCATTAAGATCTACAGCTGTTAGTACTTCACCAGTTACATGCTAAAAAGTTTTGAACTTTGCGGGCGGCCAAATCTCTGATCATCCGGTTTCCTTGATATTTAATGTTCAAAAACTACTTGAAGTTATTTTGAAATCTGGATGCAATTTATTCTCAACGAATAAATTCTCCATTACTTGTATGAAAAATAGAAGACATTTACTTACTGTTAAAGATTTATTTTGCATCACGAAAGAAATTGTATCTACTCAACGCGAGTTCTAACACCTTTAAATAAGAAAGAATTACAATCAAATCCCAAAAAAAAATAATTACTAAAAAGTTTCAATAACAACTTCAACAGTTTATAATAACAAGTCTTATAGTGAGAATGACAGATTTGTTTTTAATTGTTTTCCTTATTTGGAACCTCATTATAATTCTCTCTTTAAATAATAAATTTTATAATAAGAATTTTTTAGTGATTTTTTGAGAAATATATAATATAACATGAAAATTCCAAAAGCGGCATAAAAGCATCTGAATGTACAGATTCGGATAGAAGAATGTGGGAGGGGGGCACATAGGAGTGGCTAGCATGACATTTTATGACAGGTTTTAACTTTAATCCTAAAAGCAAATATTCTATTAGAGATTGGTCCTCAAGCGACATCGTTTATAGATGTTTCAGTCTCAAGCTGTCCTCCGTGGTGATCCTGTGGCAGTGAGGCGTCGTGCTTCACAAACCGATGGGGTTTCTCCGACCGAAGGGACGCTAATGACGAAATTTCTCGAGGGAAATGGAAAGCTGTGAGATATGAGAAGCAATTAGGCGATTCAGATTCTGCGATCACTGTGTTGTGTTGTCTCTTTCCCAATTGTAGCTGCCCGAGCACTGTGAGTTCAGTGTCGGGTTCGGGTCTGCGATGGTTCCTGCTGTGAACTGGAGTTACTGATTCTTCGGCCATTTTGAATCTTCTAGTTTACTGTTGTGTCCGGCATTGCTAGGGAGAAAATAAGAAGAAGCATGGGCTGGATTCCATGTTCTGGAAATCCAACCGGTAAGAAAAAGAGAAAGAATAAGATAAAGAAGACGGAAGTGCAGGAGAATAGGGTAGATCAAACCAAGACAACTCCAGGTATGGATGCAGTCATTAATTTTAGTATGGTTAACTAGGCATTAAAAAGTTTACGATAGGTATCTGAGGATTTCTATTACAGTGTCGTGCTGAAATTATTTGAGAATTTCTAGTAACAATGAAGCTCAATTGACTTTCATGTACTTAATATGCCAAAATATGCGAATTTCCTCAATGCGGATAGCTGTGATCTGATAGTGATGTATGCCTTTGTTATTTAATCTTCTGTTCTGTATTTCTAGGTTCTATTCCATCATCGCATTTCTCGGATCTATGCATGACTAGAATTTAGATTTAGAGGATGCTTCATGAAAGTAAAGTGCTGCGAAAATATTTCGGCAGTTTTCACCTTCATAATGGTATAAAACCTCTTATTTGAGCTGCTTCCGTTGGAATTATCGGTTTCCACATTCATAAAGTAAATTCAAACATAAAATTGTTCTTAAGATTGTAGCTTGAATTGATGCATTCTACGTGGCAAAACTAAATTAAATCTCAGATTTATTTGATGTTTGTCTACATCCTGCTGGGGCTTGAACAGTGAAACATGCTCGCTCCATAGTATTTTTACATTTCAAGAGACAGGATGAACATGGAAATAGCCGATGAAATATAGATGCGACCCACTGAACCAGGCAGAGATTCTGCTTCTTCTTGTCCCTCCTCTAATCATTATACGGCTGTTGTTTACAGGGAAGTTGAAGAGGAACTCATCCACTAGTTCCAAAGATACCTCTAAAAATGGGAATTCTGATCACATTGCGGCTCAGACTTTCACATTCCGTGAGTTGGCGACTGCAACTAAAAATTTTAGGACAGAAAGTCTTTTGGGAGAGGGAGGATTTGGCAGGGTATACAAGGGGCGTTTGGAAAGTTCTAATCAGGTGGGTCTGTTTTCTGATGATTTCTTTGTCTGCACAGAACAGGAGAAAGTTGCCGGGCAATCTAGTTTTACTTCCTTTTTCCTTGTTATTATCCTTTTGCTCAATTTATCACTTTTCATTGGAGAATGTAGGTTGTCGCGATAAAGCAACTTGACCGAGATGGGCTGCAAGGAAATAGAGAATTCCTTGTTGAAGTATTGATGTTAAGTCTACTTCACCACCCTAACCTTGTCAACCTTATTGGATATTGTGCTGATGGAGATCAAAGGCTTCTAGTTTATGAATACATGCCATTAGGATCCTTGGAAGATCACTTATATGGTATTTGTATCTCAGATCTCCATGCTTGTTACTTCCATCTCTTCAAAATTGCATATGATAGTCTAATAGGAGGCAGTGGTTATGCCTTTTGATTTGCAGATATTTCTCCTGCCAAAAAACGGCTTGACTGGAACACGCGAATGAAAATTGCTGCTGGGGCGGCCAAGGGATTGGAATATCTGCATGACAAAGCAAACCCTCCTGTCATATACCGAGACTTAAAGTGTTCAAACATTTTGCTTGGGGAGGGGTATCATCCAAAGTTATCTGATTTTGGTTTGGCTAAACTTGGACCTGTTGGGGAAAACACCCACGTATCCACAAGGGTTATGGGTACCTATGGATATTGTGCTCCAGAATATGCCATGACTGGTCAACTGACTCTGAAATCAGATGTTTATAGCTTTGGCATAGTTCTGCTGGAAATAATTACAGGAAGGAAAGCCATTGACAGTTCAAAAGCTGCGGGGGAGCAGAATCTTGTTGCATGGGTAAGAATATCTCACTGCTTATATTGTTCGCCGGCTTGGTTGATGACTTGACGGTGACGATATTAATGAACTAGATCTAATGGATGGCCGCCGAATAAAATAAAGGAAGTGCGGTTCCATATGATTTGGCGATGCTTGAAAACTATTACTTGCAGTCTTACTTGGGCTTGAGAATTTATGGTATTCAATTATTTTTCATTCCCAGTATCCCATTTCCATAGTTCTCGATCACCTTTTAATTAAATCTAATCAAACATATCATACAAGCTCTTTTTGCACTCTTTTAGGATTATTCCCTAGGTTTGTGTTTTCTTCCCTCTTTTAAGATGATTCCTGATCCTCCTGTTCTGTTTTGTTGTCCCCTCTTAATTCTACTGTCAAAATGAATTTATGGCGAACTTTCAAATTGTGTATCACATTGATTCTCTGACTTCTACATTGTTTTTCGCTGGCTATCTAGAAGAAATTGAAGAACTTAATTCATTCAATCATGACATGATTGTATGACCGAGTCTTGCTCCTATTGAGTAATTTGATTAATTTGAACAGTGACTTTGGGATAGACCATCCTGATTGATGAATAAATTGCAGGCTAGACCCTTGTTTAAAGATCGAAGAAAATTTTCACAGATGGCTGATCCAATGCTTCAAGGTCAGTATCCTCCCCGAGGCTTATATCAAGCCCTTGCTGTTGCAGCAATGTGTGTTCAGGAGCAAGCAAATATGCGGCCAGTTATAGCTGATGTCGTCACTGCCTTGTCTTATCTTGCTTCCCAAAGGTATGATAGCAATTCGCACTCTCTTCATAGCCCACGCCTTGCCCCTGCTACGCCTACAACCAGGAGAGGAAGATGATATGGAACTGATCACGGTGTCGTGATTTTTCACGTACGTGATTTGAAGGAAACTTTTCCATGTTGTAGCTCTAATGCAAAATATATGTCTATAGACGTTAATATCAGCTGTTCTTTTGTGGTTATTATTTATTTCTCAGGTCAGAGCATAGTCGCGGAAAAACTTTGTGAATTTTTGTTTTTATTTATGTGAAGAGGGTGCATTGAACTGCTCCTGTTTCCGTTGGAGCTATTACAGTATCTTTCACTTACTTTTCCCTTTTATTTCTTGCTGGGTTCGTTATCCATGCGCCTTGTATTCCGTGGCAGGAGCTGGACTGAAGGTACGCACATGGAATACGATCACTGTCAATAACAAATTTTACACTTGAACTAAACAATTTTTCTTGGGTCGTATGGATTTTAAGATGAGTGGTATAGTTTATCGTTTATAATTAATACAGCTTGACTTAAATTTTATACTTTATATTGACATTGATTGATATTAATTACGTTTCAATGGGACTAACTAAAAAATGTGAGGAAAAAGAAAAGCCAAAATCAAGTAATTACCCGGATGTTCTGACGCAGGAGGAGAATGAGCCTTGAGTTTCCGCAGAGACTGCTCTATTAGTCTTGTTCTTGTTTACTGGACTCCTTCCTCGGAGTGACAGCGTCAGTTCCCCAATTTTTAGGCTTGCTTTCACAAGATCCCCCCACACCTATCGGTGTTCCCTGATTCAAACAAAAACAAAAGTCAAAGCCAACCAAATGGCCATCTTGAAGAATTTAGACTTTTAGAGACATTTCGAGATGCACAAATTGGTTATTTCATACATGAAGGACCAAGAAACTGAATTGAATGTGAAATTGATGTCAAGGAATAGCCTGTGGAATTGAATATGTCAAGTTGGAGATCGAGAGCAGAAAAAAATCGAAGTTATTATTACCCTGTTTTTGTCACGCCAAGTCAGTCCAAAGCTTAGTAGACCTATCTTCCGTGAAGGCTTTTCTTCCCTCGGGCTTGGTGCTAGACCGGCCCTACAGTTAATGATAGCAAATGAAAACCACACCATTAAGCTTACAAAATCTTATTGGTTAATCCCATAATATGGTCAAAACAAGAATGGGTAATTTAAAATCTGAAGAAGTGGAATGCAAAATCTGAAGTATGTTCATTAAAAAAAAAAACTGAAGTATGAAAAATTTATACCTTGGAGAAGAAAGTGCTCTGGATAGGCCAGATTCATATTGACGGGTAGCCTCCAATGAACTTTCTGCCATTAACACTCGCTTTTCCATCTCAGCCATTGAAGCCATGGCCTTATCATACTTTTCCTGCATAATAACCAATATTTGTGATAGATAACATAATTTCTTCGAAAATCCTTAACATAATCTGGTTGTAAAACAAAATCCTTAAATTTGATTTAGATACTTGCGCTTGGGAATTAGGAACTAAGTCCACAGACCAAACATAATGGCGGAAATTATAATCTCAATATAATAGCAGTTAACTTCAGCCACACCACATATTAATGATAATTACATGAAAAGTCTCCTATTTCATTTCTCAACTACTAAAATTTGTGCTGCATCCAATTTATCGGATACACATGAACAGGGACATTGCATATATTTACTTTGCAAGATTACAGACGGTAGAATATTGAAGCTATTGGGCATTAAAGAACAAATACTCGGTGCACATTATGAGTTTAAGCTATCGTCATTCTATCAAAAATTAGTGTGCTCAAATTTTCCAAGGAGTTTGATATATATAAAAGGAGCCATGGGGAGTCCTGATCAATTCAAGGCATTCTCAGATAATAATTAGGGCAGGGTACCTGAAGCACATGAGCCTCACGTTTCTGAGCAGCAACACCTTGCTCTGCTTTTCTGCGAGCATCTTCAGCAATTTTTTGCCCCTGCTCTAGCTGCATTAGGACCTGTAGCGTGCAGATAGATTCAACAATCAACATTTTCCATTGTGCACATGAGTTTCACTAATTCGTTTTGCATTCAAATCCGTGAAAATAGGCAGTGGAGTGAACAGGTACACGCTAGAACCTTCAGCATGGAAGCTTCTTGTTCTTTCTTTCCAGCAAGGACTTGCTGTAACTCAGCTACCTCCTGCTCCAATTGCTCAACCTGTATGATTTTGAACACATTAATAAACCTAGGAAGCCAAACGCCACCAAAGATTTCGAAAGGAAGAACAGATTATTATTGCACTAGGACGCTGAACGAGCCTTTCCCAGGGTTCGTATGATATTTCGAGTAAGTAAAGGTCCTCAGCTAATTTGGATGATTACATAGTCATCTCCATCTAAGTCTTTCTCTCTCAATAATAATAATATGTCAATAGTCATATCTATATCATCAGGACATATGCGTCAGGCAGGGGAAAAAAAATAGATGGGTACCGGATAGTGCAGAAAGCAAAACCCCTGTTGTCAATTGACAAGTAAAAGGTCCTCCTGATTGTCAATCTATACTTATTTTTCCAAAAGAAAATTGAAAACAAAGATGTAGATGGATAAGCACATAAGCTGGTGTCAAGAAATTAGTCATCTCTATTGATCTATTCAAGATGATACACAAAACATAAGTTAACAATAAACATAATCCTACATAGCTAATATATGCTCTATACCAGAACACTAAATCATAGATAACCCCAGGAGATTCCATAGAGCAGTGGGCATCTAGAATGCATGATAGAACTAAATATCAAAAGCTTCAATAGTATGTTAGGGGAAAATAGGCGAAGGCCCATGATATATTGTCAAATTCCCACTTATACAACATAAAGCCAAACTCAACTCAGCATGAACACCGCCGACTCCGCCCCACGGCCTCCCACCAAAGGGGGAAAATTGAGACACAACAAGTGCAATTATCCAAATATTAAATATACCTTTGCAATCAGTGCCAGTCGATTATCTTGCTTGACTGCCTCCATTAGAGCTGTTTCTAGCTCCTCAGATCTGGTTAAAAGAATGGAAATACACTCATGGAGATTAATTAGTTGGTCTCAGACAGCATCATGATAAAAGATTTGAAATATGAGTGTAATTAAATAGAAAACGGTAGAATATCTCAAAAAGCATTTTCCCCTAAAATTTCAAAAGAAGCAATGAAAGATGGAGGAAGGGGTAAACAGGAAGAAAAATACAAAAATGAACATGAAGCGTGCTGAATGCTATGTTTTGTAAAGACGGTCAGCTGTTCTTGTCAATGAGCTACTATATATGCAGAGTAAATGAAGGGAGAAAACATAATGAAACACTGGGGAGCTTTGCCCAGATGCACCTGTTGGTGGTTTAAGGCCATTTCCAGAGTCCAGACCCTGGCATCTGTTTTAACATGGCCATTGGAAACTTTGAAAGGTCATTCTTAGGGATACACACTATCATACTCTATTAGCAGGAGACCAGAAAGTACACACAAGGTTAGGCATGATGCTAACTAGCTAAATTGGACTGGCAAACACACTTCTCACAACCTTTAACTCATCAACAATTATTGTCTAAGAAATCTCCTCTGAACTTAAACAATGGGCTGAAAAACAAATTGATTATCATCGACAGAAAAATCTCTAGAATAGAAGCAGCAAAGAAAAGCAAACCTGAGTACAGAGGCTCTTTTCTCCTCACTCAACCTGCATAACTCAGCCTTCAACCAAACCACCTGATTGAAACTTAAAATGAGTTGTGCCTGAATCAGTTACACCAGAACAACTATTTATAGAACATGAAAACTATGAAAAAAAATTTGGCCAAGGAGGCAGACTAGAAGAGAACATGCCTCCTGAATCGTGGAAGTTCATGAGGAATATATTTTTTACTAATGCTGCCGTGGAATGTGGCCGTACCTACCAAACTAGGTGCAGCTAGTCGAATACACTAGATTATGATCAACAGAATATGCAGATTGCTCCCAATATTTATCAAGTGAATAACTCAAATAAACCACATCTTTATGATTATTTCAGAAAATAGATGAAGACACATTCTATGATGCTTAAATAATTATTCATGCATAATAGTTGGGGAAAACTTGCAAACCAATCCATATACTGGATACTGGATGGCATTGAAGAAAGCAGATCTTCATTGGCTGAAAAAATGATATGGTGGATACAATTGGGGGAAAATAGTGATAGATGAATATAAATTGAAAAACAATAATGTTAGCAAGGTCTAAAGGAAGCAACCTGTTCCTGGAGATCTGGTAGAGAATCGTCCTCTTGACTACCATGAAGGCCATTAAGAAATTCATCCAAATTAGAAGATTGAGGCTCCAAATATGATTTTTCCTCATCAGCAGTCTTCCTTTCTTCTGCCAGAGATCCTGGCTCACGCTTGAAGCTGGACAGTTTAGCTGCAACCCCTTTTGAATCCTTTGAAATGCATCCCTTTTTTGACCTTTCCTCCAAGACAACTAATACAGATGACCGATGTTTATCTCTTAGTTCCTGCAATCTGGCCTCAGTCACTGCTAGAAAGCCCATGCAAGCAGTAAAGACTAGCTGGCTGCTGTCAAATGTTGAGCCAGTAAGTGACTGTAAAAGTGTGAGTGCATCACCTGCATCTTTTGTTGTAACTAATGAAGAACCTATAACAAGACATGATAAATTGCTATTATATTAAACTTGATTGAAAATAAACTTCATCTATGTTCACCTAATATTTGACTCAAACACTGGAAAATGCAACTCAGTACCGTATAATTCCATTAGCGCTAGTGCTGTTCGAAATAACATGACACGGTTCCCTTCAAATAGCAGCACATCCCAGACTCGAAGAACTATAGAAAAATTAATCCACTGTAAGGCAACATGCTTTAGGATATAACAAGTTCAAAGTCAATTTTGTAAGTTTGTGAGAACCAAAAAAAGGGAAAAAAAAAAAACCAGCATAAATCTCACCGCTTTCCCAAGGAAGTGTGTTCACAAAGATTGAAAGGAACCAAGGTCCAGAAATCCATGTCACTTGCACTCCTAAGTAATCCAAATGTTTTACTGCAACAAAAATGGCAATAGAATAAAATGTCGATGCAAGCTGCTTAATATGCAAACAAAACAACTGCTAAGAAAATCTAGCAATTACAAACCCAGCTTTGGAAATCTTTCACGCACCAATTCCTCAAAAACTAACTGGTCCACCTGACAAAACAAAATCTTCCATGACTGCCATGGGGAATTACTAAGTCCCTCTATACTGTAACTATGAAACAAACATTAAATACTGATTGAGGATAAAAATAAAGCGATATAATTTAAAAAGTTGAGCTAGTAGAACTAAACCTGAGATTCTATCATTTCCTCTGTATAACAGCCTTCAAAATAATCATCAATAATGCCCACCAATGCCCTGAGAAATCCAACTAAAACTAATAAGCTAACAAATCCAGATTAAATCAAGTATTGTGCATAAGAAAAGACAAGAACTCATATTTACATAGTCAACTGTTCTCCAAATATTGTACTTAAGGTATGCCAAACGATAAAAATTTATGAATGTATTATGGTTGAAAGGGTTACCAGTCTAGTCAGAAATATTATTTATTTTCAAGCTATAAGTATTGTTGCTAGAGTATTAGACAGCTATCTACGCTACAGAGAGGGATTAAAAGAGTAAGCTTCTCAAACCTACCAAAAGGCATTTTCTTCAGGCATAAAAAGCAGCAATAAACCAGCAAAGAAGTTCATTGCCTGCCAATGTTTCAGTGGCACACAATCATGACAACATAGATGATTACCGCCAAGAAAGAATTCAAAGTTACCATCAACATGTTTCTCACCCAACCATCCCCACACCCCAACAGAATAAAAGAAGAGAGAAACAAGAATTAATGTCATTGTTGGTCCTTACAATTTCATCCAATTTGGTTTTGGTCCTTACAGCTTTAAATCGTTGATTTTGATCCTTATAGTTTCATAAGGACTTGATTTGAGTTTAGACATAGGGATCAAAACCAAAACTTGCTAAAAGTATATAGATTATTTATTAAACTCAGACCAAAAAATTATACTATAAGGACTAAAACCAATTATTTGAAATTATAGGGAATAAAATCAAAATTCGATCAAACTATAAGGACTAAAAATAGTATTAATCCAAGAAACAATTATGGGAATGCAAATGCACTTTACGGTCTGTCTGTCAAAAACGAGAAATCTACTATATAGGTGACAGTACATAGTCTTCTAACAGTAAAGCTACAATTCAAGTTTTTGAATATCTTCTCTATTTTATGAAAAACTATGTTTTGGTTTACAGCACCAGGTGCAGCCAGCAGAGTTGAAACACCAGAAACACTAAGGTTATGTGCTACGCACACTTTTAAGACAATGATAACTTAATATCTATACCAAGCATTTAGAGAGAGAGAGAGAGAGAGAGAGAGAGAGAGAGTTAAAAGAGGTATGGTCACTAGTTGGAAAGGATACCAGACCACTCGCAATCACATTAAAGAGTCAACTCAAAGTCCTCAGCTAATGATTAAGATGCCAAAAGCAAAAACAAAATCAACCCCCAACTAACTTGAAAGAGAGCTTCCAAATTCATTTGTATGTTGTAATTTGTAAATCAGCAAGGTTACTATGTAACTTAACTTGGAAGAAACATAAGCTCAGGAAGCACATATTCAACCTAATTTCAGTTAAAGCATGATATTTGTATTCTTAAAATGTAAGTGGAAAAAAAAGAAATGAATGGAGAATTTTAGACAGAAAAATGCACATTTTTCCAGCAAATCAATAATAAAGGCTTCTGGAAATATTGATCCTTGATTTTACTCATAGCACCAAGAATTTGAGCTTACCTTGTGAGTTTACGATTGAACAGGGATGGATACATCAGACAATAAGTCCAAGGAAACTGAAATATCAGGAAGTACCAGTTAAATTAGTTTTTACCTACACTATTAAACCCCTGTTACCTGACAGTACCCTACAGAGGGGTTATGCCGAGCATATGCAAGAAGTAGGCGCCTCAAGGAATTCCTGCCATTTTCATCCAGAGCAGGATGACCTGGGAAAGTTCTCGGCACATCCTGTAAATGGAAAGCATGGTTTAGTCTAAGGAGGGAGCCAACTTACAAGATAAAGCCAAAGAAGCAGCACCTACAAATCAAAATAAAGTCCAAGGCGCGTGCAGCTAATGACCTTCTCAATCTGCTTTCTCCATTTCCCAAATGCACCAGACAGGTCATCCCGCTCCTTGCTTTCACCACCATGTATTTCTTCAGCTAACAGATTCTCATAATAGCTTTCCACCCGACGTGTCTTCACACCTACAAAGGCTTGCCAGACCTGTAATAAGTAAAACAATATTGTAGCAAAGACTGCACTTTTTTCTTGCAAAGTACGAAGGTAAATGAATTAAAGAAATAGAAAGCATCAATTATACCTCTCCTCTGATATCCTTTGGCACTCCTCCCTGAACAAGGAACTGAAGTTCTTTCCATGCAAAGAAAAGCTCAGATGAGTCTCGGTCCACAAAAGCATTATCATTCCTTGATGCATTGGTATTGTTGTCTAGAGTCTCATTTACGCAGACATCATCCTCACAGGTCCGCTCAGAAGCCCCTTTGACAGATTCAGATTGTTGCATCGATGGAAGATGGTTGTCATTACCCTTTATCTGCTGACCTTTCACAATCTTTCCCTTCCTGATGCGAGAACTCATAATTTTCTCAATGTCAATGAGAGACGGTCTAATTTCAGCGCAGATTCCAAGTTTAACAGTCTTTCTTTCTTCTGAAAGATGGACCACATTATCAGAAGTACTTCCTGTTACACTTGAATCATCTTCATCACCCAGCCTCTCTAGACTTGTCTCCTCTTTAGGCTCAGTTTCTTCATCAGAATTGCCATAATCTGAACCACCTTCTTTACTAGTCCCCCCTACATATAAATGTTCTTTTCTCTCATTGCCTTCAGCAGACTCCTTGCCCCTAAAATCGTTTCCTTCACTAATCCTCTCCGTACCTTTCTCTCCTCCTGTCTCTAAAGAATATGGTTGAGATGATTTAGATATCTGTTCAAAGAAGTTCCTCCATTTATCACATCTTTCATCCTCCTCTACCTGATATCATAGATATACTGGTTCAGCGGTAATACTGAATGGAATTTGTGTTGCTTATCAGTAAAAACCAGTCCTCAATGTTGCAAAGGACATATTTTATTAAGGCCTTGTCTTTTGTCAAGCAGTCAGGTTATAGTGCATGCTTCTATGCTTTCGATGTGATTCTTCAATAATTTTTTTCAAAAGAAAAAAGGTTGAAAAACCAAAAATATGGAGTAATTCAGTGATTTCAATGAGAAGGAGCTTGTCTACATTTTTTACTCTTTTTGTGCGATGGTATGTAACCCCAAAAAAAAAAAAATCAACTTTCCGAACTTCAAAGAAACTACTCGACGCTAGTTATTTGAACAAGTTGACAATGCATGTCCTGCGTAGCTGTTCTCTTCATTATCGTCAGTCGTGGGGGAAAAAAAAAGTAGTTATTATTATGGATTTTGAGTGAGATGATTTAATTATGTTGATTGTAAGCAGAAAACTAATTTTTTTCCCAATAAAATGTGCTGGAATATGCCTCATCGTAGAATGTAACAAATTTCTCTTAAATGCGTGTGCATGTACTGGTGTCAGCGGTGAAAAATTGAAAATATTGAAACTGAAGCAGCGGAACACCAAAAAAAAAAAAAAAGTAATAAAAACCTTGTAGATGGAAGCATACTCTCTGTACGTTTGTGCGTGCTGTGGTCTTAATGCAAAGCCATAGGAATCCCTGCAGAAATACGTGTGCTTGATCGTTTTCATGGAATAAAGAAGGAAAACACTACCAATAAACAATACAAGCTGGCATGTGACCGAAAACAAGAGCAAAAGAAAAACTGTAAATTCCACTGAAAATGATTGAATCTGTGAACGATTTGCAGCTGGGCAAAAGGAAATGGAGGCTGCTGGGTAAATACGAAGCTTTACAATAGAAACTACCTGGAATCAATCTCCAACGAGCGCTTACTCAACAAGGACAACAACATAATTCAAGAACGCTTGCGGTTCCGCTGCCCATAGCTGAACCAAAATAAGAATGCTACAAGCCTACGACACTCCAGACTTCAGAGCCACTGTTCTTAACATTTAACGCACGCTGCGAGCATTCTACGCCAATATAACCGATTTCTTCTATGAACGTCAAATCTCACATAATGAATTGCATCCGACAAAATTAGAAACAGATGGATTATGATTGATTCAAAAATTAGTTCTCTCGTCCCAAAATTTACTATTGGAATTAAAACGAATGTACAGTATTTAGTTCAGGTGAACATTAATAGCTACGGAGGGTTTCGACCATTCTGGAGAGGAATCAGAATGCAATCAGTCAAATTTCCCAAAGAAAATTTCCGAATACGATCAAAGAATTTGCATTAATTTAGGGTATCAGAACGCGTGGACATGGCAAATGACCGATTATGTGTTCGCGCGCACATCCGTCTTGGGCTCGAAATTGTGGACGAGACTGAAACCTAAGTCCGCAATTCTCGATTGATTTAGCGAATATAAATTCGATTGCGCGCACAAAAAGGAAGATCAGGATATTTTGTTTCTCACACCACAGAAGATTAGGATTTTAAATGGGTTTGATCCGGATTGCGGAACACAAAACGCCAGTCCATGTTTTCCCGCCTAGCCGAAATTTTGCCCAATGGCCTTAAGCACGCGCCACGTGCCTCCATCCCTTTTGTAGTCGGTCGCCTTTTTTTTTTTTTTTTTAATGTTTTTAATGGTGAAAATCGTTAGTTATTAAACAAAATCATGCACATTAACTAAAATTATCATTATTATAACAATTATCTTAAATAAATAAATATGAAAAAAAAATTAAGCTAGAGTCTCATATTTAATATTAAAATAAAAATAAACAAACTCTGTTATATTTATGTCGAATCCTCTTTCTCCCTACCAATCTTCTAATTTTAAACTAAAATTTGTTTTGAATGTAAAATAATGTTGCCGAGATAATTTTGAGATATTTATTATTAAATTCTCCAGGACCAAAAACAATAACTGAATCGAATAAAAAAAATAATTGAAAATTAAAAAAGCGCATAAACAAAAAAAAGTCATAGAACCAACTTATAATAATAATGAAGATATAGCTAAACCAAAACGAAACGAATATAACAGCATGCAATCTGCCCTCTCCAAAACAACTACAATTTTTATTTAACAACTGCATTGACACATCGCACAAGCACACTATGTCAGATCAGATCTGCCATTTTATGCGATAATACTAATAGTGGGAAAAAATACAAAGCTGACCATAACTCCATAAGCCGGCGTGGATACATGGCTACGAAATTTATTCATATCGACCACATAAACAGATCCAGATTAGATTGAAAACTATAGCAGCTATATTCTACTACATCTTAATCGTCTGCTGCCATTCGTTGTTCACTGCTGTGCCTGCAGGCAGAGAAGAAATATGAGTATTAACAAAATGTTGAGGAGGACGGGCGAATCTAGGCACGACGTTCCAAACTATGTCGCGCGGTATCAAAGGAGGGGATGATATTTAATTTATTTATAGTACCAAAAAACGTTTCTTGAAAATGTCCAGGAGTTCCTGAGGGTCAGCTTTCGTCTTCACATACGCATCATTTTTGTTCAGCTCCTGCGAAAGAGACATGATTATACCAAATATGAATATATTTTTTTGGAACCAACATATCTGAACCAATTAATGATCAGGCCGTCTATCAAATTCCATGAGGGCTAACTACAAATGAACCGTTCTGTTTCAGATATGGCGCATTTCGAGAAAAGAAGAAAAGTCGAAGAAGAAATTGTTTAACGGAACAAGTTCCAGCGTACCTCAAACCATGCCCGCAGTTTGGGCCTTCCTTCTGTAATATCATGTTTGAAAACCTCGGAGAAGACGATCTGGAATCTTTCAGTGAATGGAGCATAGGCCACATCCACCTAATAGTCAAAGTAATTAATAAATCACAAAGAATTACAGCTATATTCTTACATACAATTAGATGACAAATGGTTTTAAGACTACGTTGATAGTAGTACTATATTTCATCAGATCGACCACATTAAACTTCACCGTTCGACAAGAAAGCCATCCGAATAGAGTTCAAGAAGAAAACTTCAGGACTCCTAACTTCAACTTACCCCACTAAATTGGCCAAGGAAGAATGGGCCGTCATCAAATTTACCAAGAGCATTCTCCAAATAATCAAAAGAAGGACCTGACACAAATTGTCGATGTTAACGCTACATTCAATTTGAATAACAATCCAAAGTCTAAATTATATATAAACGCAGATCTTACTGGTTCGCTTTACAGGATCTTCTACTTTCAGTGAAGAGTACACATCTCTGATGAATGTATCACTATATGATAACAACTGCTCACCAAACTCTTTCTTGGCAGGATCCTGAAAATTGTCTTTCTCAGCATTACTCTACTGATAAGTAGAGAAGAGGGGTTGGGGAAGGGGACAAGGGGTCATCAATCATCATGGACCATAATAGACTATGAGGTTCTTAGTTCTTACGTCGGGAAACAGAGCCGGCCCTTCAAAATTGGCATCAATATATTTGATCAAATCAAGACTTTCTCCCAAAACCTTGCCATTGTGCTCCAGTGATGGCACCTATATACGAGCGGAGAAACATAGGGAAACATGTGAATGGAGTTGGCCCACCATGGTTAAATAAATTAAAGAGCTTGCACAATTTTAAGCACCTTATTCTCAGGGTAGACTTTCTCCTTGTACCAAGCAGGCCTGTTTTGAAGGTCTATAGGAACCAATTTGATATTGTCTTGTTGTCCCTGTAGTCAATTCGATCGCTAGTCAGGAAAAAGAAATGGTTTTCGCTCTGAATAAAATAGTCACTAAAATAGGCCCGCGATTCCAATCAAAACAAATAAATAAAGCTGCTACATCAGAAGAGGACGAGAAACAAAGCCACCAAACACACGAAAAGATAATTAAACAAAAGAGGAGAGAGTGGAGAAAAGCACCTTGTAGTTCCTAGCAATCCATGCCCGTTGTGCAAACGGGCACACATAACTGGTGTATAACCTAAGAGAATATACCAACAAAACATAATTAACATGTGGCCGACGACAGAAGCAATATCACAGAATATTAGGGCAAATCGGACGATGATCAGATATGCTCAATATATATAATGGATAAACGAACCTGGTGGTTCCGTCGAAGAGGGGAGGGGGATCGGAAGTGGAAGTTAAGGATGGTGGCTTCAATTCGTCGACGCCCCTGAAAACAGCGAAAAGAAGAAAGCGTAAGAAAGAAGGTGAAATTATTCGAATGATAGGGAAATTGAATGAAGAAATATCTTACGCAGTCGCCATTGATTTCGTTCGCCTGCGGATTCCCACGCTTGGAGTGGATGGTAGAGGTGGCAATCTGATGCAGAATGTGGTCTCCATTCATCAAGGTCCTCATTATATACAACTCAGTGACCCAGTGAAATCGCAAGCAGTGACGAATGCGAACGCCTACTCTGCCTTGACACATTTCCAATGTTGGCCGGAGAAGGTACTAGAACCACGTCACCCTCAAAAGTATCGAATTTAGAGACAAAATCATATTCTTAGTTGATTAATTGTTTTCAGTTTGACCGAAGGATGTGTGAAAAACATTTTTATGACAAAATTTCTCTCACATAAAATAATCCGTTTCCCACTTTCCAGTGTCCACCAGAACGATGTTCCCCGTTGATTTCCTCACACCGTGCGTGATAAAATAAAGGTCTTTCTTTCTTTTCTTTTTTTTGCCAGCGAGATAAAATAGGGGCATAAAGTCTTGGATTGATTGGTTGATTATTGAATATTTGATAGTTGGTCAAAAAACAGATTATTTAATATTGATAGATGGAAGTCTTCTTCGACCAAGAAAAAGATAGATGGCAAGTTTGAAAATGTATCAAGTTTTATAATAACATCCGGCGTTGCTAATAACGCAGTATTTTTATTTTATGCGTCACGTCTTAGGTACGCTAAACATATTACTATATTTACTTTGCATATTTGCATCAGAAAATTTGGCAAAAAGATAAAAAAAAAATAATAATAAGACAAGATTTTGAAGTTGAGAGGGGCTTCTCAAGTTGAGCCTGATCCAACTATTTTGCTAATAAAGATTCTGTAACCTGATATTGTATAAAACGGAGTTTTTTTTTTTTTTGGGCTATGAAAAACAGAGTGCCTGTGCGATGTGTGGGTTTCCTTCTTTTCTTTCATATAAAGGTTTTAAATTGTCCATGTATATAGTAGGGAAAAAAAAAGACTTCTGTAATTTGTTATACAATCTGTTTATAACTCGTGGCAAGTTACTCTTTGGGCCATGCAGTCAGAAACTATATAAGCTCTATATATTATTACCTACAGTACTTAATATAAAATTTAGTTGATTTATTTAAAAAAATTAAAAAATTAAAAAATTATTTAAGTATAACATATGTTACATTATCTCTTTAAAATATTTATCTATATCATTCTATTATATATTATTTTATAAATTAGAAAAACTAGTTTAAATAAAAATGATAAATATAATACTTTAAAACAACTTATTATTTTTTATTAATTAGAGTCTTATATTAATAACATAAATATTTCCCCTGATCTGTTATATAATCTAGCAATGTAGTTGCAGAGCCTGTTTAGGTAACAAGCAAAATTATAATTTGGGAGGTAAAACCATAGTTTGGGAATCAAATCATCCAAACATGTCAATTTTTTGTAAAATCAATTTTTGATTAAAAACTATAGTTTGGAAAAATATAGCCAAACATCATGATTTTTGGCAAAATCACTTTTGAATTGAAAACCATAGTTTGGGGTCTAAAACCATGATTTTTCATAAAGTGAAATTTTTTTACTTTTAAAGATATAAAACCATGGTTTGTGATATAAAAAATAGATAAATATGAGAGACAAAGTAGACTGAGATCTTATATTTATAATCAAATTGAATATCTAGTTGGCTCTTATATTAAGGACGAAAGGTAATATTAATTGATTATACATTTTATATACAATTTATTATTTCAAACAAAAATATAAATTAAAATCTATTTTTCTATAATTATCACATCAACTTATGTCTTTTTTAGTAATTTGTACATAAAAATGATTATTATAACAACCACTCAAACATTTTAACTTTATTAAAATTACTTTTTTAATTCACAGAATCTATTGTTTTAAAATTTATTTTTTCAAAAACTATGTTTTAAAAGTTATTTTCTAAACCATGATTTGGTTTCATCCAAACTAACATCGTTTATAAAAGTTGGCCAGAAATTTAAAAAAAAAAAACGCATGACTTATAACAGATGTCACTATTCTCAGTCGTCAACTTTATAGAGGACGGCATGATCCGTGATCGCAGACAATGACTCTTTTTTTTTTTTTTTCCGGGTGAACAAAGTAGTTCATTTTACACTGTACCTAAAGTGGCGATCCAAAATCTAGTTATCCATACAACCTTTTTTTTGGGCGGTTTGTGCTGCTAAACCCGGGCCCCCCAAAATTTACGTTGTTTAGTTATCTAGAAGGTAAGAACAGGAGAGAAGAGGAAAGACGAAAAGGAATCGAATTGGGAAGCGGAGGCCGAAGCAACATTGAGAGATGAAAATGGTTATGGATGATCCGACCTTACCACCAAATAATGAAATGTATTCCTTTTTTCTTTTTTAACTATTTGTTAGCGCGCAGAGAGAGAGAGAGATAACGGATCCTTTTCAAGGCCTAAAACTCAGCTTTGACCCTCCATTATCTTCTTACATTTTTATAAGAAATCTGCTATTTTCTTTATGTCGCATGATCCATTTAAAATTGAAAGAAAGTCCTCTATGCACACAGGCTGACATTTTCCTCACGCAACATGGCAAATCATGTGAATTTAATTTGCATTATTATCGGAGTATTTCGTGCTATCCATAAGAAAAATATTTTATTCTTGCAACCGACGTTTCTTTATTTAATTTTACAGGAATTCAAAATCTTAGTACAATGTAATGGTGCGCACACACTTTCACAGAAATTATTATATTATTATAAACTGTAAATTCACTTCAGACATTCCACGCAAGTAACTCTCCTATAATTTGATGACCGGTGTCCCAAACGAATCCAAGCTTGCTGATCTCATTCCTACAGCTTACCCCTGCACATATGACAGAGAAATTGAGGTTTAATTTATTAAGCAGCATAGTTAGGATTAGGCAGACTGCAATTTCTTCCTATGAAAGCTTTATTCAAACCAGGAAGCGCTTCTTGAAAACTTCGACAAACTCAGCGGGATCAAGTTTTGTTTGTTTGTAAGCATCGTCCTTGTTCAGCTCCTACAAAAATAAGTTTCTCCTGTTAGCCAAAGTGTACTTATACTGTATAGATGGAAGATGGATGCCTGTATAAACGCGGGGGTTCCTAAATAGTACTAGTAATATACTACTTTCGGTCCTATTTATAAGATCTTGTTTTATGAGGTCTTATAAATAGGACCCAAACATAGTACTAATTAATGTTTGCTTCTTCTTTATATAAACGAAATCTTATAAATAGGACTGGAAGTACTACTAATTAATGTTTGCTTCTTCCCTATGTTTTTACCTCAATCCATGCCGCTAGTCGAGGTCTTCCAGCCGCTATATCGTGCTTAAATATCTCAGAAAAGATTATTTGGAATCTTTCAATAAATGGAGCGTATGCGACATCCACCTGATGAGAACCAACTTATTGAATTTTAAAAAGAAAGAACTGAACAGAGAAACAGAGAACATCGTACTGAGAATTTTCATGTATCTTACCAAACTAAATTGGCCGAGGAAGAATGGGCCATCATCAAATTTACCAAGAGCACTCTCCACGTAATCAAAAGAAGCACCTGATTCAGACGACCGACCAACAATCTTAACAGTTCAATGTTTGACATCATTAATAATGTGTGCTTCGATTTAACTTTTTTGAGAAAAAGTCGATCTTACTGGTTGCATTTACAGGATCTCCCTTTAAGGAAGAAAAGACATTTCTGGTAAAAGTTTCAACATACGATAACAGGTGCTCCCCAGCTTCCTTCTTTGCGGGGTCCTGAACAATGATTGTATCTCTATTATCAGCGAATTAATTACTTCAAATAATTAAGTAATAGAGGAATTAATTAATGTCATGGTCGAATTGTACTAATTAATATTCTTACTTCAGGAAGTAGAGCTGGCCCTTCAAAATTAGCGTTCACGTATTTGATCAAATCGAGACTTTCACCTAAAACCTTCCCATCATGCTCCAGCGATGGCACCTATTACATAACAAAAGCAAACACAAGCAAACCAAATAGATAGCTTCATATGTGATGTTTAAATAGGTATAATTATATTCGACGATGTTTTCACTTTTCTGAGATGGCTACCTTATTTTCAGGGTGGACTTTCTCTTTATACCAAGCAGGCTTGTCCTGAAGGTCGAGAGGAACCAACTGGATCTTGTCTTGTAGTCCCTGATATTATTCATGTTCAAAAAAAAAAAAACAGTTAATCATAGGTCATCGACTTATAAATGCATCATACCATAAAAATAGGAGATATTTTAGCTGCAGAAGTAGTGATGGAAAAACAACCTTATAGTTCCTCGTAATCCATACGCGTTGTGCAAATGGGCACCCATAGCTCATGTACAACCTAATCTCAAAGGAAAACCCATCATATTATACTACTATAAGATATATCATTACAAAACGCAGACACGTGAGCGTATATTGGAAGTAAAAATATGATGATGGAGACATATATTATAGTGAACCTGGTAGTTCCATCAAATACAGGAGGTGGGTCGGAGGAGGAAGACAAAGTGGGAGGGCGAACTTCATTCACGGTTCTGAACATTGCCCAGAGAGAACAAGTCACGTCAGAAAAGAGATATTTGATTCAGAAAAGGAAAAAAGATGAACTGAACTGTGTAAATTGTCGTACGAGGTTGCCATTGACGTGGTTGTCCGAGAAAGCTTAGAGATGGGGAAGAATGTGGTTGCAAGTGGTGTTGATGCCCAACTTCTTTTATAAAAGTTTGAAATGGTTGCTGGCGCCAGCAGTGACGAACCCAATAGGAGCCAGCCGTGTATAATCTTATAACTAAAAATTAAGAGACGCCGTATGATTAAAGTTCTTCGGACTTTCAAGCTACAATTAATAATGCTGCTTTTACAAAACTTAGTGGAAAATGTTGTATCATCGGCTTGCCACTTGCCAGTGTATGCCTACGACATACTAGGAAGTTGTCAAAGTCTTGCGATCTCGCTTTCATATTACGACATTGGCGTTGAAATTTTGGAAAAAATACCAATATCTTAATGCCTCGTTTGGTATGATGGAAGAGTTTTTGATGGAAGTGGAAGTGGAAATAGAAGTGGAAGTGGAGGTAGAAATGGAAGTGGAACTGAGATCAAAAGTGTGTTTGGTAAGATGATGGAAGTGGAATATAAATTTTAATGAATATATGTAATTTTTCTGTTAAAAGACCAAAATACCCTTATTGCTATCTTCACTCCACCCATCATCATCACCCTTCACCATCGGACCAGTACCCATCCACCACCATGCTTTCAAGCCAACATCTCCTAGAACTAAATAGCATAGTCTAATCACCCAAAACTCAGACACCATAAAAAGGAAGCAAGAAACAAAAAGTCCAAATCGAAATGGCAAAATTTTTATAGCCAGAATTAAAACGGCAAAATCATGGAGAATTGCCAGCTTCAAAATCGAAATACTCCTTCTTCTCTGTTGGATTCTGCATCATTCTCCATATCACGGCATCCTCATTACCAGAAATTTCCATCAAATGGCTAAAAGAGATAACCATTAAAAAAGGGCAGATTTGAAATACGAATCCACTGACTCCTCCTGCCAAGACAGCCTCCAAACATTCTCCGGTTGCGTCAAAGGCTCCAAGCTTTTCGTCAGCCCCATTGACTCGGCGGAAATCATCACCATCCGCGTCTTCTATGCTGAATATGAAGAATGCCACCTACGACGTCGACTCCGGTGAAGACAACTTCTCAGAAGGACGAAAGCTCACGACAAATCTGGATCTGGAAGAACTCGCGACAGATCTGGAATTGGAAGAGAGGATGCGATTTTGCAGGGAATGAAGGCTGTCGTCATCACCGGAGTCGTCGCTGTATACCGTTGTCCTCGCCGGAGTCATCGTCCTCGCCACCGTCGCTGTAAAGGACCATCATTGCTGGCGGAGGGAAGGAGAAAGAGCAAAGGGTAGAGAAGGAAAATGACTCATGGAACTGGAGGTGGAAGCCGGTTCCATGGGGTTAGGCAGGGAACTCACTTCCATCGATTTTGATGGAAGTGAGTTCCATCTGGAACTGGGTTCCGTCACACCAAACAAGTTAAAATATGGGTTCCGCTTCCACTTCCACTTCTCAGCCTTCAATTCCCTGCTACCAAACGGGGCATAAATCTCTAACCCACATCAACATGCTTCTAGAGAGATCTAAATCTCAAAATATTATTAATTCGAGATTTCGAGTTTTATATTTCCTTCAGTTTCACTTTAAAATTCCATGCATTATCACTTATCATTAATTAATTATAATTGAGATCCCCGCACCTTGGTCCTTGGTCAGATGCAATTATGCAACGGACCCAAATATTACAAAGTTATATGCTACGTTACATGAGGTTGACCCTCAGTGCATGGCTGGATTTTTCGCCCAGCGACGAGTTTGGAGTACTTGGCCTTCAGATTTAAACATAACTATCACTCCTTTTTTTTTTTAAAAAAAAAACAAGATGATATTACGTACTCATGTGATAAGTCCACTCTTATCTTTTGAACTAGTCTCAATATCAATCTCAAATAATACCAAAAAAAAAAAAACTGCAGTATCTAACAAATTTTTTCATACAAAACAAAAAAGAGAAAATATTTTGTGCTGCCTGTGAGATTCAATATCTAATTTCCTATTATTCTCAAGCACTCATTCAGTTCAAAATATAAGATAAATTTTATCTATTTACATTTATCAAGAGATCAGTTAAATGATTTTAAAACAATAAATATATAAGATATGTATTTTTAAAATATGCTCTTATTAATAAAAAGAATAAGTAAAAGATACAATAAATAAATGAAAAAGGAAAGAGAACATACGTTAGGAACAAAATTGAAAAAAAAAACCCATTAATTTATCATATATTTTGAATTGGAGGAACATAGTCTAAGGAGATAATGTTCCCATCAACGAAGTATTTGTTTTTAATGAAAAATTTAAAGCATTTAACTAAATATCTTTTAATGACGTGTGTATTTACGTTTGTGTGCGTATCTATATGACTAACTCGCACCCCCTAACAAGCCAATATGGAAACTAAACATTTTTCAAGAAGGTCGATAATATGGTTCGAGGCCATTTTTTGGTTAATTTTGTTCGCACAAGAGTGATTTCGTATAAGCTGTAATACTTACGGCGCAGCCTTTTTTTTTTTTTGGGGGGGGGGGGGGGAGAGACGCAGTTCTGATTTGAAGCGCAAGAGGGTGTACAAGCCACTGGCATATATCAACATATGTATAGAGCATTAACACGAAGTGCACGTGGGATTAACACGGTAAAGGCAAATTAAGAAAATTATTTACCTTTTTGAATGGAATAATCAAACCATACATGTCACCGCTCACCCCTCTACGGAAGCGGTAAATATCAAGAGAAGCTACAAACTTCTTCAGTTTTACAGTTGAAGGTACCTCAGTAACAACTAATGTGTGCTTCTCCAAGGTGGGGGATGATGTGATTGCTTGGTAAATGTAAGCAATCAAATAAATTTCAACCAACCACCAAGAACAACATTTTAACCTATTCAGACTTCTTTGCCAGACTCAACGCCACTCCAATGGTTAGGCTTGAGGCTACAAAACCCAGGGATGCCTCCGTTGACACATGGATTCCTACAGGAATGAGAAGACGTTTACGGACAAGAACAGTTTGTATATGATACAAAACTTGGCAACATGGTTGCAGTATACCCACCAAAATAGTCCAGAATCATCTTGCACCCAATAAAGCCCAGAACAACAGCAATGGACGGCTGATGAGATCAGAAATACACATCAGTGAAAAGATAAGTCAGTACACTTTTAGACAATACGTTACAAATGAATACAGTGAATATTCAGTATGTATATCATCCTGAACAAATAGCATGCTTTGCCTTTCCAAGTCAGCCCGCAAATAGGGTTCCATTTTTCTTTGGAAGCATTAAACTGAGATAGAATAGCTTTAGTACATTTTTCGCATTCAAGGAAGAAACATTAAAGTTTTGCGTAAGTAGAACCAGGAGAACAGGACAAGTTATGCAGCAAGCATGATACAATCCAACGCAACGGTCCAAGTAAACATTTACCTGTAAGTACTCCAACTCTGACATGCCCTCAGAAATAATTGTGTAAAGCGACCTCAAACCTATTTTTGGCAAGTAACACGAGTTTAATTATTGATATGCATATTTATATGTAGGCAAGAGTGTAAACCAACATATGACAAAGATAAAAGAGATTTGAACAAAAATTTATTCATCCTGCCTCTTCAACTAGTGATGGTAAACCAGAATACAAGAATAAGTTATAAAACAGCCCTTTCACTTCATTGCAGACAAGGGTAAAGCGTGAAATCACAAAATTGTAGTGTTAAGCAAACATATGAACCGCCTTTGAAATTAGAATTATAATATAATCAGTCTTTTCAGGTTTTCAGTGCATTATAACTCTTGAGGAAATATTGAAGCAAGCAAACTTACCCAATATGGCAAAAAGATTAGAAGTAAAAACTATGAAGGGGTCCCTCGTTACACCAAAAACAGCAGGGATTGAATCAACCTATAACAAAAACCAAAAAGGGGAAAAATTATGGCATTAACGTTCTCATTCTAAGTTCTAAACTAACCAGAAAAAGCCAAATACAGTAGAGGGATGAAAAATATTTACGGCAAATGCAATGTCACTGAGTTCAATAACTGCTACAGTAAGAAGCAAAGGTGTGGCCTGCCCAAAATGTTTGACCCCTGTTAGAAATAAAGTCCAAATTAATTTAACATAAAAGACTTTTATAGTTATTGAGAATCAATTTATGCGCTAATCCAAGAACACATACAATGGATTCAAGAAAGTAATTTCAAACTTCAGCTGATGCTAATCAATCACTTACTTTCCAAAACCCATCTTCCTTTGTTATGAACCGGTTTCCATCATAATACGCTGCAATAATTTGTGAGAGTTAGGTTCCAGCTGATAAGGCCACTGATTCAAATTTCAATAGATCAATGCAGGCAACAACCAACAAATGTTTTGCCCCTGTCTATGAGCATGAGTGCATTTATGTAGTATAATCTAACAAACCAAAACAAAACAATCAGTTAACAATCAACCAAATAAGAAAACTCAAGGTCCAAAAAAAAAAAAAAAAAAAAAAAACTCCAGTATATGCTGAAAGGAAGCTCCAATAGAACACACTACATCCAATATTAAGCATAAAGCATCAAGCTTGCAGCAGGCCATAAAAATAATAATCTAAGGCCTATGGGAGAATATTCACAAATCATTCTTTATTCTTTGCACGCACCGAATAAAGCCTTTCCACCATTGGCTTGATTAGAAAGGAAGAAGCCGTTTAATAAAGACCAACAATGAAAACAACCAGCAAGCAGATCTCCAAGTAGTGAATGAGAAACACTTAATCATGTGAGAGTACATTACTTGTTACAGGGATAAATCTCTGGCATGTCTTCACAATAAAGTTATCTGATAAGTCAGACTCGTCTTCTTCACTGGCGAAAAGCTAATTACAAGCAACAGAAAATATGCAATAAGAGCAATAAGATTGTGAATACATTGCAAGAAGCATAATATTATCAGGAAATAAACATGGGAAGTGTTTTATCACGCAACCATCAAGATTCAAGCAGGTGTGAGGATGTTAACGTTATTGTGAATCTTCACCTTGAATGAAGAGTAGAGTAATATTCCAGCGAGTAAAAGGTTGACTGCCTCAAACCTCTAAACCAACACCATTAAAAGGAGTTAAAACGATTGCCAAAGGTTTAAAAGCTTTTACAAACAAGAATTGAACAACTCAAGAAATCTACCTATTAATAAACTCACCTGAAGGGTAGCAGTTCCTAGAAGTATTAGTGTTAGACGAAAGACAACTGCACCAGCAATACCGTAAGAAAGAACACGGCCCTGTGTGCCATCAAGCAGAGGAAAGTGACAATCATGATCCAATTTCCAACACAAAGGATTTTGGTTATTGTTGAAACAATGTCAAAGAAGTTTGATATCGATATAGGCAAACTTAAAATAGAGCTGACACTGCCCCACATTTATCTTTGGAAGTTGGAATGGAGGTCCATACGTCACCTGATACGTTATTGGAACTTTAAAGTATCTGAATATTAGAACAAAGACAAAGAGATTATCTACTGACAGACTCTGCTCCAATATGTACCTGAAAAAAGGGGGCAAGATCATCCACCCGGCACAAAATGCAAGAGAGTGAAAACAAAGCAAAAAGCAGTGGTGTCAAAATTTTATTCAGGAAAACCATAAACTCAAAGGAACATATATGTCCACAAATAATGTTCTAAATGTAAAAGCAGAAGCAATAAGGCTTCCTGGTTCCCTGGTAAGACGAGGTGCTATATGCTATAAGCTTCAGGAGTCAACAATTTCATCGCTTCTCAAAGACATTAATTGATCAGTATGCTGGTGGAGACTTTGCAGGTTATTTGATTTTGGCTGATCCTAAATACTGGGACCAATTAACTAGACCCACAAAACTACCAATAGCTAAATTTATAGTTTACTAAATAATCATTCTGCATACCCAGCAAAGAACTCAGATGCCTTGTCAACACCTTCTTTAAGGCCCACACCAACACCAAATGCCACAGCAGTGCACACCTATAAGAAATACAACCGGTCTGAGGTAAGGTAGAGATTCCAGACAAACGGAAAAAATATAAAGAAAGCACTAAAATCATATTCATTTGAGCTCTGCTCACCCATAGTGCAACAGTTCTAACAGAGGACACGTAAGCTTCATTTTCATGAGGTTCCTTTGTATTATTAGCTGAAGTGTGAGCCTGAGATTTCTCAATGTTGCCAATGTCTTCACGTGGCCGAGCACTGATCCTCTTGCCTTATAAAATACCATCAATACAGTGCAAGTAAAGAAATATTTAGGGGGGGAAAAAACAGAAGCAAGCTAATAAATTTAAGATAACCGCATTAAATTGAATGGCCAGGTCTATAAGATGGTATCATGACAGATGGGGTTTTTCATGCAGGAGATGATTGGGCTGTTAAATTTTTAGATAATGCAAGTCAAACGACGTCTGCCTTATGACTGTAGCCATTTTTAGTTGTATCGCTTATTATAAATATGAAAACAAAATGCTTACTTTTTTTTTTTTTGGCCATTAAGAAAACAAAATGTCTACTTAATGGAAGGATAAAGGGTAGAAAACGAAAGCATCAAGAGCTCGAGATTCGGAGCCGTTTCACCAGATGCTCATGAATATAGGTAAACAGGGTTGTGGGGCTAGTGAAGAGGTCAGATAGTAAGATTTAAAGGGTTGAGCAGACATTTGAGGCAAGAAACACGGCTAAATTAAGCCGCAACACAATGTGAAAGGCGGGAAAATGGTGAATTTGATGTATATTGGTATGCTAACGTCATTAGAATTTAGAACACGTTATTTCAATCAAGCATTTTTCCTGTTCTCTTGGGGTATGGGGCAGTTACCTGATGCAGATAAATCATCCTCGCTGTCAGTGCCTTTGGAGCACGAAATCGGAACGCAATGAACCCGACGACAATGATAAACTGCCATCCAAAATCCGTCAGAAGCAAGAAATTACATAATGTCATGTATAAACAAATAGTGGCTGAGCAAAGGGGAGAGAGACCTGAGTAAAAGCGAGAAGCATGAGAGTGGACCCCAGCCCATTTCGCAGCTGGAACTCGCTGTGAAGCACTGGGCAAGCCAAGATTGAAATTTGTTGGAATTCGCACACCGTGGTGAAAAACAGAAGCAAATCCCATAGTTTTTGAGCTCTGAGATAGCGGGGGAAACAGAAATCTTCACGGAAGGAGATGGACAAAGGAGGTTGATGCTATCCGCAGAAACTCAGTTGGCAGTATAAGGAAGAACCTACAGAGTTGGGGCTAGAATCAGAATGACAAGTTGTTGTTTTCTAGTTCGCGTTTGAATTGGCCAGGGATGGTCATGGGCAGGGGAGTGGTTCACACTCCGCGAACCTCCCAGTCAATTACGAACCATTCGTGTATTGTTCGCAAGGTAATCCGTACCGAGCTAAAAAAATAGAAGAAAAATTGACGAAATTATTATTAAAAAAAAGTACTTTTCGGCTCTCACTTATCTGCTTGTTCATGGATAGAAATCTTCCATTTATTGCCGACGAAGGGCGCGATTAGAACACTGCGAGTCTGCGATGGTTTTTGTTTAATACTTTAATGCGCTTATTTAACCAGGGGAATTTTTGGAAAAAAAAAAAACAGAATTGATAAAGATGCCAAAAGACAAGTTTATCTATATTGCTCTTAGCGGCTCTGAACTTGAAGGGTGTTTGGATAGAAACCAAACCATGGTTTCAGAAGTGCTTTTACGGATTACGAAGTAAATATGTGAAGGAGGTTACCTCGTTTTGCGGAAAAGTGATTCTGAAACCGCGGTTTTGGTTTTGCCAAACACCCCCTTGGATGACCATTAACATAAATTATAAAACTTGTAAAGATTTTTGTCCTTCACTGTATTTTTAAATAACTTTTATGAATTTTAATAAATTTTAAAATTAAATATAAATACAACATGAAATTTTTTTTATAAAAAGTCAATTTATTCAAAAAGTAAAATGAGGACATTAAAAGTTGGCAAAAAATGAGTACATTAATTCTAATTTATCTTTTTATTATAAATCATTTTGTCTTTCATCAGAAAAAAGCAAAAAAGAAAAGCGCGGTGGCGGAAAATACCAATAAGCGCGGCAATTTGTTTGTGGATCGAAGGAGGGAAGGGTAAAGCGGTAAAAGCGTATTAATTGCCCCGGCTAAATTGATGGAGGAATCCGAAGCTTGTCACAATTGCTTTTGCTTCTGGAGTGCTCACTTCTCACGCCGCCTGCGATTCTCTCTGCGCTTCCGCTCTCACAATCTCCCAACCCGATGGCAACCAACACGGAGAAGCCGAATCCCGACAATCTTCCCGAAGATAACCCTAAGAAAACCCTAGACCTCACTCAGCCCCCTTCCGCCACACCTGACCCCGATCCTTCTCAAGATCCGACCAATGCCTCTTCTACAACCCAACCTTCGTCTCTCCCATCCCAGCCTTCAACCACCGGCGCCTCTCCCAAGGATGCTGCTGCTGCTGAATCGAAGCATCCAGTTGCGGAAAAGGATGCTGCCGTTTCCGATATTCAGAAGAAGATACTTCGAGCCGAGCGGTTTGGGATTTCTGTGCAGCTGTCTGAGCAAGAGAAGCGCAATTCCCGGGCTGAAAGGTACTTTATATATATACGTTATCTTGAAGCTTCTTTCTTTTTGAGGGTGCATGCAGTACGGGAAGTAGTTGTGTTTTTTAGGCTCCATGTTTTCACTGGATCTCTGGGAAAGATAGGACATTTTGTACTTAAAGTGACACTTGGTTCATTCTGTCGAATTTATTTCAAAGGCTTTGGCCACGAAGATCCATGAAACATTTCTTTTGGGTGCGTGTTCCTGTATTTCTTCTTCATAGAATGCATTCTCTAAGTGGTAGGCCACTGCATTCGTTTTGAAGGTGTAACATATTACTTTTTACTGATGCAGTTATCTGAATTTTATCTCTGCGGCAATGGCACAATGCTATATTTTTAAAAATATTTGTGGTTATTTATTGCGTGTTTCAAGACTCATTCTTACTTGAGAGGAACTAAGCATCAATGGAACATTTCTAGTGGAATTGCTTCATGAATCTTTTTTTTTTTGTTTCCAGTTTCACGGAAACTTCTATTTAAAGATATTTTTGAGGTCCTGAATTATATTACAATCTCATTGGCGAATATATATATATGTATGTATGTATGTATGTATGTATAATTTAATTCTTCCTCATTAGCTCTCCCGAGCTTCTGTATAATTTATGTCCTACATTACTTCGTGTGGGTGCTAAGGTAGCCGACTAATGATGAAGTAATATGCACTGAAAATTGCTAGCGGATGTAGATTGACAGGATAGCTCTCAGGGTAGAGGTTTCTAGTGTGCTAGATTTTGATGAAGTTGAGTGTTTTGCTTTCTTGGCTATGGTCTTAACCTTTCTTTTCCAAGGAATATTTTCAAACTTCATGGATGGATGCCCTGTGGCAGCTCTTAGCTAAATTTGTTTCTTATCAAGAGAAAACAATATTTGTTGTAGGTTTGGCACTGGTTCCACATCACAAGCATCAGAGACATCAAAATCGGAGGAGCTGAAGAGAAAAGCTAGAGCAGAGAGGTTTTTCCTGTTCTCATACAACTTTTGTACTCACATAGTTTCATCAAGTGAATCAACTAGATGTTTTCCATTTAATATTCCGTACCATAGTCCTGTTCCTGATGGTATTACATTGGGGAGTCTGTGTGATCATAATGGAACAGAATAATGTTATTTATCTCTTAGCAGGTTTGGGATGCCTTGTCCACCAACGGCTGCTGATGAGGAGGCAAAGAAGAAAGCTAGGCTTGCTAGGTTTGCGCCAGTTTCCAAGACTGATCCCTTGGAGGAAGATAAAAGGAAGGCAAGAGCACTCAGGTGGATATCATATTTTACTTTACCCGTACCATATGGAAAGTTTCGGCTACCACACATAAAGAAGAGTGTATGTATTAACCTTTTTACTCCATGATCTCTGCTACCAGGTTTTCAAATCCACCATCAAGTTCTTTGCCCCAAGTTAATGGCACAGGGAACATTGAGACAGTAAGGCCTTTTGTCTATTTTCTCAAGCAATAGAAGGAAGAATAATATGTGGTTTTGCTGCTTTCTGTACTGATTTTATTTTTTCCCCTGCAAACTAGGAGGCAGCTGTTGCTGGCAAAGCAGGAGGTGGGGTCTGAATGGCAGCATATTTCATTACTAGTTGAGTTATATTGTAAGTTACTCTGTTTTGCCAGCCAATATTCTAAAAAAACTCAGTGAATCTCTACTCTTTCATGTTAATCACCATGTTGGTGAATTCATTTATGTCTTTAAGTTTTAACATGGTTTTCATGTGATATGCTTAACTCTTCTCTTAAACATTTTTGCAGGTCTAGTTTTTGAAGTTAAAGATTCCCTTAGTAGCTTTCATACTGTGTCTACTTGTTGACATATTAATCCCTGGATGCAGCTGCTTCCACTTCCTCTAAGACATTGCTGAGTTTAAAGTGACTGGAGAAGATTTCTTCTGGTGTCAGTTTACTGTGTGACACCATGGGGTAATTAACGGATATCTTTAAATTTTTTACTTATATCAAAATCTGCCTAGGTCAAAATTCTGGAATCTACAGCCTATAGAAGCTTTCATTTTTATTTTAGCACTTAGATTAAGCTTTTGCCTTTTGCCTTTTGCATAAAAGAAGCTTGTTTGGTCCTTTCATCCCTCCCCATCATTGCGATGAAGTCAGTATCTCTTGTATGCTGCTTGTCAAATGTCCATGATCATTGTGCGAAATACCAGGTTGATTATGCTATTTCAGGCTCCATCATAATGCTAGTCTAAAATCTGCTGATGTCAGGATAAGTTTATGTTGCATCATGTGTCTTGGGGGAGTGTTGATAGGTGAAGATGATAAGCTCTTAAGTAGCAGCTCATATAATGAACTCTTTTCTGCTTAATTCTTAGAGTTGACATTATTTCATTGTCGCTATGAATAATGTTGGTTCTCTTTTTCACTCGTTTTCAAAAGTATGAAAAGTTTGATGTTACGTTAATGAAAAATAAAATCTGGCATTTGCATTAAAAAAAGGCTGCATTTTGGCATTTACGACAGACTGCTTTCTCTTTCTTCAGCCTTTGTCCATTTCTGAATTGATGTTCAGTGGGAAATGTGATGTCCAATGCTGTGGTGCAATCTCCTATGAGTTTTGGATTTTTAAATCTTGTTTGAAAGTAGTGAGTGAAGCACATATTTACTTGGTTTCATAGCCCTAGGAAATGGATTGATGGACTATGTTATGGTGCTTTGGAAAAAAAAAAAAATCAATAGCTTTTGGCTTAGAGTTGGTGGTTTGCGTCACTGGATCGGCAGAGATATTTAATTCGTAGTCCTGCTACTGTCTGCTGGGCTTTCTTTAAGAAAAACAAGGTTGAAAATGATCAAGCTGAATGTGACAAATGAAAACTTTAGTGGTGTGGTTGAAGTCTGCAGATGTTTTCTTCTAGAATCGTAAGTTGAGGTTATTTTTTAGGCTGTGGATTCCAATTTTTTGATCTTTGCTGCTATTTTGTTACAAGTAAACTCTTTGAAGGTGCCACTTAGTTTTCGTAGTTGCCAACTTTAGAATTGTACAATCTGCTAGATAGGACAGGCAAGTGAAGGAGGCTTATTTTTGTTCCTTTTTTGTTATCTTTTGAAATATATTTTTCTAGTTTTTCTTTGGGTAAAAAGTCCTGGAAGTATCTTGTATCTGGGGGTATTTGTGTTGCTGGTTAGCAAAGTATAAATGAATTAACGGACCATTATTTCTACTTGGGGAATCATTATATGTTTAACCGTAATTGCCCAAATTTGTGTATCTTGATCAGCTTTAGTCTGGAAACAAGTGGCTAGCACTTCTATGTCTCTAACGGTGCAGTTGTAACCCTATGTCATGTGAGAAGTTTCTTTTGATGGTGGAAGTAGACAATGATTTGATGAGCGGAATGCGATCGATCCTTTTGAGACTGAATATGGCCATGGCATCCTATGAGTTTTGCCAAGGGTCATTGGTTGTCGCTTGTCTTTTGCGGATGATATTTATAGAACCAACGTGGATAGCCTTACCATTCGGGAAGAGGTACTTTCACGAGCCGCTTCTTATTTGTTAAATTGTTCAGCGGATGGCAATAGGTGATCAACAAATTAAGGTTTTGCAACAAGCAATGTCCTGCATATTCCCTTCCCGGGGTTTTATATTTCTCTACGCGCAGTCCCAAAATTCTTCTGATGCGGTTAAATTATACTTTTGGAAGTGAAAAAATAAAAGGTGAACTATTTTGCGACTGAACTCGAAAGTGCACCGAGTCTGATGCTATGAGTAGTTTGGCGACTTTTACTGTATATTTTGAATTTGGATATTGATTAGTCATAAACAAATTTTCAGAACACGGTTGATTCTTGTAAATTGAAATTAGATGATATTTTTTGTTCTACATATAAAAATTACACACTCTAGGATATGACGTTAAACGCAAGTTAAAATGCACAAAACCTTCCCGGACTTTGATCTAACTTTTAAAAGTTTAAATTAAGAATTCTGATGTTTCATATTGTGAATATAAATTTCTCTGCAGTTAAATTTACAGTTAATTTTAATGGTTTTTTTAATTAAGTATCAATTAAAAAAATATTATTCAGCATTTGACGTGTAATTTAAAGGATTTTATACTTTTAATTTTTAAAAAATATGGTCAGATAAGTATTATAAATGTTTTTTAAAGTGTTTCATGTTTTCAATGATTTTATTTTAAGTATTTGAGAAATGTTTCAAATTTTATGTCAAATGCCAAATATTATTTTTCAGGAGAATTATAATAAGATTTTAAGAAAGAAAAATAATTACAAAATAGGTTTTAAAAGTTGTTATTTTTTATTTTGGAACTTATCATTATAGACTATTTATTTTGTTATTGGGGTTTTTTAATAATTATTTATTTTTGGAACCCTATTGTAACTCTCTTATTTTTTTAATCGATATGATATATAATAAAATATATAAAAATAGTGACATGGTTGAACCGTCAAGGTGAATGGTAATTTTAACCGCAAGAAAATTTATGATCAAAACATGAAATGTTAGGATCCTTGATTTAGACTTTTAAAGATCAAGGAGGTAATGCGCAACTGGTTAAAAGTTCAGGGAGCTTTTGTATATTTTGGCCTTAAATATATTAGTCAAGTTTTATCAATTTTTAGGTGAACAATATTTTGATGGTATACTCTTGAATTAATGTGACTATCAAAGTATTAAATTAAAGAAAAAAAACTTGAGTTTTTTATATCTATTATGTGAAATTTTTTAATCACACATGATCATATATCGCCATCTGTCTCTCTTTGTTTCATGTGGATTTGTCACTAAATGTTAATATTTTAAAAATAGGACGTATGATCATGTATGATTAAAAAATTTAACAGAATGAGTATAAAAAAATTGATGTAAATATTGTTTTAGATTAATTATATTTTTTTTATTTACGTCAACTCAATTCCACTTGAGCCAAGCCAAAGAAATACATTAACAAGCGACTCAAACTGTAGTTCTTTTTACACGCATCAAGACCAGATGTTTGACATCTGCGTCTGAACTCTGCAATGAATGTTTAAAACGAAAAGAAGAGAAAAGGGGGTAAAATTAGACGCATTTTCTATGTGAAGTATGAAATTAGTCGCATTGTTCATGGCCTATGAATGGCATTATTGATTTGATATCGCAAGTGAGAGTGGGGAGTGCAAAATCTACTCCAATCATGCACTTCATGGGTAGTATTTAACGTGCGCGCGTGGCCAAGTGTTTAATATTTCCTGATATCCGTGTCCCATGCCTATATAAAGATGCATTTAAAATTCGCTAGGGTGCACTGGTATTTGCTTCATTTAGGATCTGCAGACATAAATAGGCTAAAATTGTTATTATATAAGTATGATCACCGATCAACACTAAGTCCCCTTAGGTAGCTTAGCTTGAATGAGATGCTGCAATTATGGGAGTGCGATGCGAAAGGAAACGATCTATATATCTGCTTTGTACAACAATTCTCAAAGAGGGATTCGAGGGAAGCTTTTGGACTATGGATTGGCAGGCCAGCCTGCTTTGATTGAAAGAGGAGAGCCCCATGGAGAGTTATTATCAGTGAGTTTTGGGTTTAGAAACACAACCACTACTGTTATGTCATCGTGGAAGTGCCTCCTCGCACCTGCTTCGATCTTTTCCAGGTCTGCCAGTTTCATTTCCCTCTTCTTTGCTGCCTCTTTCATGGCTGCCTTTACCAGCCTCCTCGCTATTCCCTGTTCCATAAACACGCCTCTCACTGTTCATTCCGAACACAAAACTCTGAAATAAACACACACATAAAACATGACCCAGTACATTTGGAAGCTTACATTACGTGGGTTATTATTGACCATGTTAACGGCTTCTTGGTTGCTAAGGTGCTCCCACAAACCGTCCGAAGCAAATATGAGAAAGTGATCGTCAGGATGGAGTTTCTGCGTTGCTATTGACGGCTCACAGCTGAGAATAGGCTTGAAGAAGGATTCCGCCAATCTAAACCTCAATGGCAGAGGCTCTCTGTTAAATTCTGCCTTTTTCAGATATGCATCACCTATGGATCTCGAAACCTGCAAAAACATAACTTGTATTTAAACATGGGATTTGAGCACTGTTTGTTCTGTGTTGTCGATATTGTTTTCTTGGCGTACCTGAATGAGGCCTTTGACGCGCCAAACTTGATGTTTCAGGACCACAATTTGTGAATCAAAGGGGTGCTTTGATCGAACTTCATCTCTTACTGTTTCTATGTTAACGTTGTGTTCTGCGGATAGTTGAATAGCTACTACTTCTTTCGTTGCCCTCTCCATTCTTCCCAGCACCGCTCGGGAGTCTCCAGAATTTGCTATATATATCATCCCATTACAGATTATCCCCACTAAGCAACACGTCCCTGTGGAAGCAATCTCTGGCTTGCTCATCCACTTTCTCTTCACCATAGACAGAAATCCTTCGTCTGTTGCTCGATACGCCTTCTTTATAACACTCTCTGCCATGCCTCCTTCTTCGCCTGCAAGTCCTGGATCAAACAGCAAAATTAGTGCTAATTAGAAATATTTTTTTAAAAAAAAAACAACCAAATAGGTCTGATAATGAAGATGAGAGCATACTCTTGAGATTAGAGAAGAGATTGTCGGTGACGAACTGGGAGGCCTCGTAGCCACCATGACCGTCGTAGACACCTATGACGGTGCCTTGAGGACCCATATTATCATTATTGCAAGTGAAGGGTCCAGATTCGAGCTGACTTCGATCCTCCAATGAACTATTGGCCTGAACTACGGCCATTGAGAAATCCCCATACAGATGATTGCCTAAATCCTTGTGCCATAGCAATCCATCAACCTTCCCACTCCCTTCTCCATCTTCACCTTCCACAGATGGTTTCCAGCATGACTTGACCATTTCTTCAGGCAATTCGTCAATCTAAGAAAAATTTATCTGTTCTCTCCTTGGCATTTATCACCTACGGACACGACCTCAGATCATAAAGCTATATACCCATCAGAAAAGGAACAAATGGGTATGGACTGAAGTAACTGAGATTCACAAAGTTAGCATGTAAGTACAGAGAATATCGATATGGAGTGGTGATACTCTGTCGTGTGTGCCTTGAACCTGAGCTGAATGGGTTCAGTGGGTAAGAAGGTGTGGGGTATGTGGAGAACGGAGCTAGCTGGAAGAGAAGACGAAGACTCAATATGGCAGAGATGGTCGAAGATCTAAGGGATGAAAGGGAGCAATGGGATAGGAGAAGTGTGTGGGGGTTCTTGGCAGATGATGTTCGTCTTCAGAGAAGTGTCAGAAAGAGAGATCCAAGAAGAGGAAATGGAGAGAGATTTGAAGTAGAGAGTCTGACATTGTTATTCTTGTCCATTTATTTGTCTCCCTTGTGAATGATTTCGATGCTCGTGTGGCCAAGTGGGTTTCTGCGAGTCTTCCATTCCCTTGGCTGAGACTTTCAGTTCCATCACCTTTTAAAGCTGTCATCCTTTGTTTTAGGGAACTCTTTTCTGGGTTTGCATCATATTTTTCTTGGTTTATCTTTCGTGATCATTCGTAACTTTTACTATTTTCACAGTTCGTGACAGGCACGTTTTCACGCCCTCTTATCGTCGCTACATATGCTATTCATCTTATAGCAATACAAGTTCTATTCAGATTTCTCCTCGTATCAGCTTTAATTATTGAGAAGAACTTCAATGTAGGCTTGATTCTTGTCGAAATAATAATAAATATATTTTATGTAAATATCTACATTAAAGTATATTATAAAATTTCAATGTTACTGTGGCCGGCTTATTTTCCTTGTTATTTCACTTTCTTGATTCATAATCACCTAACTGTTTTGTGGAAACAAATGTAGGGGCCTGATAGATTTTAAAGTCAAAGCATTACTCACGTTTTTGTTTTTCACTTTTGCACCTTACAAAAATTAACAAGAATATGAAAACCCCTAAAATGAAACAAAGCAATAGCAAAGTAGTAGTAATTTAGAAACGCCATGGAAATCCCAACCCCTGTACGGTAATACTGTAGTTATATGAAAGAAGATGGATCTGGCAGGAACACGCAAAATGACTCACCAATCTGGCCATATTACTTAATTGTTTTGTTCGAAGCTTGAATTTGAAATTTTTTAAGGTTTGTTTAGGAGTTGGAATTGGGAGCTGCTATGTCGTGAATAGTTTTGTGCTGTGGCTGGTGTAATAAAGTGGAGCTTTCTGATGGCGAAGGGTCACGAGGGAGAGAAAAAAATTTGAGGCTGTGCAGACACAAAAACATGTGGTACACGTATCCACACACCTTCTTGGAACTTGCAATAATTCGTGAATTCTGTAATATTAAGACAGCAACATGGTTTTGTGATTCCTTTTCCAACGTTGCAAACTTGGTTTTCTCTCATTGATTTCTGAATTATGTTGCCGTTTTTCTAGCATTTGTTTAGGGAATTGTTTGGCTCTGTTGTCTTGCCATGAGGCGACCCTCCCATACAACTCCACCTCACTTAACACACACGTACTAAAATTGAACTACAATTCGATCAAGTTAAGGCGTTTTGTTGCAGATTCAGTTTCATCACCTTCTCTCTCCTCTTTTGACCATATATATATGAAATTGCATTCATAATAAATGGGCTGCATGTATAGTTGAATCAGAGATGACGCTTTCGGATACATAAAATAGAGTGGTTTAAGTGTTTAATAATAAACATATACTCCTGCTTGTGAGACTGGGAAGCTTTTGATCAATCATTTAAGAGTTGAAACCTGATTAGATACGATTTTATATTTTATATTAAACTGTTTTCCTAGCATTATCAGTCATTCAAAAATCAATACCAAATGTTGTAGTGTCTGTTGGTTCATGAAAGAATTCAAGTTTTTTTTTTCTTTTGGTGGGTGGGGGATAAGGCTTCACTGTTAGAGGGAGAACTATTATTGTGCGGGCCTGAAATGCGTAAAACGGAGAAGCTTCTTTCAAGTCTCAACTTGCCGAATGTAGACCAGAAAGATGGACTCTCTGATCTTTTACTTTCAACGATGAAAAAGAACAGGGCACACTCTTTTTGACTGCCAAAAGAAAAAAAATTAGCGGATAATTAGGGATGATTGTCCATTATCTTGACTTGTCAATAACGTTCATTCTTGCTCCTACATGTCTATCAATTATTCTGACTTCAAATTAGTAACATAGTTGTCCTTTGATAAGACACCCAGGTGATACTGATACAGCAGATAGATCAAGTCACAGATCAGGCCTGCCCTTGTGAGATAACAAGATCCAACCTAAACTCGCCATGAAACTCGAAAGAAAAAAAAATCATAATGGTTGCGAAAGTCACGAGAATCAAGGGACCTCATTCCACAACTCAGACCCTTTTACTGTCAACAGAATGATCGGAACCCCCCCCCCCCTTAGCTCAAACCTCAGCCTGACAGCAAATCCCTACATCACATGACATGTGTGACAAGTGACACACCCAAAAGAAACTTTACCTTCCAGCTAAGGCCAGTCATCGTATCAACTTTACTCTTTCTTGCTCCAATTCCAGGGCTAACTAATCTCATTTTCCATCATACATCAACGTGACTAGAAAAATAAGCTCAGCATAATTACTATAATAATTAAGATATCAGTGTGATAACTTAGGTAGGGCCAACTTGAATCATGTGCCTTGTTCCCATTGAGCATAGTAGCTTTTCCCTCGCGTGCCTTAATGCATCTAGAGCTTCAACCACACTTTCATGAACTGGCTTTACTTTTCTTGCCTCTGTGTTTGTTATTGGAAAGTTCACTGGAACTAGTGCCAGAGAGTTGTCGATGAAATCTCTGTCATCATCCTCGTACTCGGTCACTGAGGATTTTGAGCTTAATCCTGACAGCCTGAAGCAAAATCCCAGTATCAAAATTTGAAACCTGGCTTCACAGACACAAACTGCTCAGAACAAGTAACTCTCTCCCCATGTATCAAATACAACACACCTGCATTCGTCGTTCTTCAAATCTTGAGAACTGGAATCTTTTGAAGATGATCTTGAGGTCGAACTTGAATACAGGACAGGGAAAAAGAATCAGCCAGCTTAAAGAATAGCAGTTAGGAGATAAGATTGTTTCAGTAAGTGCTATGACTCTACATGTTGAAATCGGATACCTGCTTTCATCATGCTTCAAATCCTGAGAAATTGAGTTCTTGGGGGAAGAACAATCTGAATTTGAATTACTAGTGGAGTTATCAGAACCCTGAGAGTCATCATAGCCATGTGTCATGGAGGCTGAGGGTTCTGAAACACTGTGCATTGCGTTCTCCAACCAATATGAGTCTGTTGTACGAGTCTTGGTTCCACTCGCCTCTGAGTCTCTAGAAGCAGAGCTACTTGCAGGCGATCTCCAACAAGAACTTTCAGATTTCTCCGGCGAAGATAATTGCACTGATTCTTCTGATATAGAGAATAACTTGAGGGACTGAAGCTTCTTTTTCAGCTTTTTGAGCCTTTTCTCCGCTTTCTCTCTTAATTCGATCTCATCTCTGAGTTTCTTTTCCAGCTCCACCAACTGTGCAGCACCCAAAAACCCCACCAAGAAATTTTCATTTTTTAAGGATATAGAAATAAAGACATGGAATAAAGTTTTGCCAGGCTAAAAGCTTCACAATGTGACTCATGAAACACAATCGATTAAAAATTTCACCGAAAGTGACAGAGCACCTTGTTGCCCATAGACTCTGCTTCCTCATTAGCAACTCTAGAGGCTTGCCTTTCAGCGAGCAATCTTCCTCTCAGGCACCGCACCACGGTGTTCAAACCCTCATCTCTCTCCATTTTCTTGCCCCTGAAATAACCCATGCAACAATGTGATTCCATCTTCATGGACAACCCATTTCAGATTTCACAATGCAGAACGAGAGAAGAAGAAACAAAATATATATTAAGAAAAAGCCACCTCGATTTTGGATCCTCCTTGTCGGCATTAGCTAGGGTGAGCTGATTCTCCGTGCTTCGGTCGCAGCAAGGGCTCATCTTTGGGCTTCGCACGCAAATGTTGTGAGTGGGTTCGCTCGGATCAATTCAGACTTCAGACCCAGAAATGTGAATTCTCGTTAGTCTAATTTGGAGAGCCCGCGTTCAAATTAAATGAAAGAAAGAAAAGACGCTATCTTTGGGAATTTGAAAACCGAAGGAGAACTTGGAATAATACTCACAGGAAAATAGCAGGTGATTTTGAAGTGTGTGAGCGTCAGAGCGAGGGTGAGAGTTATAAATATCCACATCCCGACAACTTCTACTAGAATCTGACGCAGCTTTTCTATTTGCACAGTAATAATCATCTCGAGTTCCCCCCCCCCCCTTATTGTGCATTATTTACTGAAGTTTGTGTGTTGAAACGAAGGCAGAGAAGTAAGACATGGTATTTTTAATAAGGTATACACTGAGCTCATAATAACTACGTTATGCAGAACACTTCTTGATTTGATAAGGTATTAATTATATTATTTAACATTATTTTTATTTAAAGTCATTAATTATTAGGCAGAATGGGAAAGCAAATTTTAAAAAATTTCATTTAAATATGGGTAAAAATCATAAATTTACGCTTAAAAATCTTTCCTTAATTCTGACTAGGTGGCTAGAATAAAAAATTTGTTTCACATGAGCCTTTATTTCTCAATTTGAATGCAAAATTTAATGTTATTTTTTCTGTTTTATCCTGGGAGTACAATAATGGTTTTTGGGTATTAATTAAACACTGTTCGAAATAAAATGAGAAGCAGGCTTCATAATAGTATATCATATTTTTATATATTTATTGCATTCCTCACTCTTTATAATTAACTTTCAAAGGACGAATACAATGAAACGGAGTGAATATTTATTTACAGCACGATTAGTAAGGACCTTTTTTTTTTTCGGGGGGGCCTCATATTTAAGAACATAAAAGTTTCTAACATCGATCATCAAAGATAGTCTGCATAATACTATCTCTGATGCTTAATATAATAAGTAGTTGATTAACTTGAGTAAATTAAAAAAATTTTGTTGAGTTAGTTATTTATAATAATAATAATAATTAAGTGTTGTCTTTTCTAAAATACCTTTACTAATCATATATTGGCTAAAAGTATATTAAACATTTAACATATACAACTACTATAAGGATTACTTTGAAAATAAATAAATAAATATGAGATATAAAGTAGATTGAGATCTTATATTTAGAATCAAATTAAACTTCTAATTAACTCTTATATTAAGAATTAGAAGTAACATATATATATTGGCCTAGTTTCTTACATTTTTCATATTTATCTAAATTTAAAAGAATATCTTTTGATTATTTTTAAAATAGAAACACAACACTAATTTTTATAGAAAATTTTATAATTATTTTATTTGCTCTTTTGCGCATCAAATCAAACCAATGATAACGTTTTGTACC